ACGTTTCCTGACCCGTGAGCAGCATCTCCTCCAGTTGGAGAGGGAGGAGCGTGAGCGGTTTGAGAGGGCACAGCAGCTGCAGCAGCAGCAGCAGGAGCAGAAGCAGCAGCACCAGCAGCGGCAGCCGGAGCAGCAGCAGCAGCTACAGCAGCAGGAGAGAGTAGAGGAGGAGTCACAGCACCAGCACGAGAGGGTAGAGCAGGAGTCCCGGTCTCAGCAGCGGGTGTAGCTGCAGCCCCAGCATGAGAGAGTACAGGAGGAGTCACGGCTGCACCAGGAGAGGGTAGAGCAGGAGTCCCACCTGCAGTCGTGCTGGTGTAGTTACAGACCCAGCAGGAGAGAGTAGAGGAGGAGTCACGGCCACAGCAGGAGAGGGTAGCGCAGGAGTCCCGCTCGCAGCAGTGGGTGCAGTAGCAGTCGCAGCAGGAGAGGGCAGAGGCGGAGCCGCAGGAGCAGCAGCAGGGGTCGGTGCCGTCGCAGCAGACGCCAGAGGAGGCGAAGCAGCAGCGACTGCAACTACACGACCTCCCCGACCCAGCACCTGCACGCTTTGTTCGTGGTCCCATACCGTCCTCTCATGTTCCCCCTGTTGAGTCCCTTTCCTCGTCTTAGTGGACTCGTCGTTCTCCCCTCAGTCGTGCTGTGTCCCCAGAGCGTCGTCGGTCCCGTTACCGTGCAGACGGTCCGTTCCACCATGTTCTTCGCTCTCGTGTTCCACCTCCTCCTGTCCTTCCACAGCCCCCTGAGTCGTTCCTCACTGTGCTTCACGACCCGTTGTCTGACTACCTCCGTGCCTCCCGACATGTCGTCTCCCGTGTTTTGTCCGCGTTGGTCACTCACCCGACTGCACCTCTGTCGTTTGTTTCGGCACTTATTACCACTGTCGCTGGCTTTGCCTCTTCCCACCTCCTTGACTACGCCGCTCACTTGGTGAGTGGCCCTGCTTGTTCTCCGTTCTCTGGGGGTGCTCCTGTTTTTCCTCTAGAGGTCCTCGAGGACAGGCAGTTCGAGCTTGGTTTTCTTGCGGCCGCTGTTCCTCATCTTTGCGCCATGTTGCTTGCCCCTGAGGGGGATCCAGACGCCCTTGACATCCCGATCCCTCGCACTCACGCCAAGGCGGTCTCGGGACCCTGGGCTTCGTACTGGATAGCAGCTGAGGAGGCAGAGATGGCATCTTATAGGTCCATAGGCACTTACGTCGACGCAGTCCCACCACCTGGGACGAACGTCGTCAGTGGCCGATGGCTCTACAAGGTGAAGCGGCCGCCTGGATCACCACCTGTGTTCAAGGCGCGCTATGTGGCGAGAGGCTTCAGTCAGCGAGAGGGGGTGGACTTCTTCCAGACCTTCGCTCCCACCCCGAAGATGAGTACTCTTCGGGTGTTGCTGCATATTGCAGCCCAGCGCGACTATAAGTTGCACTCCTTGGACTTCTCCACCGCGTTCCTTCAGGGGAGCCTGCACGAGCAGATCTGGCTGCGTCGCCCGCCTGGCTTCACTGGCTCTTTCCCACCTGGGACCCAGTGGCAGCTGCGTCGACCAGTCTACGGCCTGCGTCAGGCTCCACGTGAGTGGCACGACACACTTCGCTCGACCCTTGCAGCGCTTGACTCTTTTTCGTCGTCTGCTGACCCGTCATTGTTCGTTCGCCGTGGCTCGACCCCGTTCTTTGTCTTGGTCTACGCCGACGACCTGGTGTTCACTGCTCCCGACCGATGCGCGCTCGCCTCCGTGAAGGAGGAACTCCATAGGAGACACACTTGCACTGACCTTGGTGAGCTGCAGCACTACCTTGGCCTGCAGATCACCAGGGACAGGGCAGCTCGCACCATTACGTTGACTCAGTCGCATATGGTCGAGCAGATCCTCACGCGGTTTCGCTTCCCGTTCTCCAAGGTACAGCTCACCCCTCTTGGTGTGGATCATGGGCTCACGGCTCCACTTTCAGACGAATCATTTGAGTCCAGTGGTCCATATCCTGAGCTGGTGGGTTGTCTCATGTACCTGATGACCTGTACTCGCCCAGACCTAGCTTACCCTCTTAGCATCCTTGCGCGCTTTGTTGCGCCTGGGAGACACCGACCGTCCCACTGGTACGCTGCTAAGAGGGTGGCAAAGTATGTGGCGAGTACATCAGGCATGGGACTTGTCCTTGGAGGGAAGCAGCCAGTTACACTTACAGGTTACTCGGACTCGTCGTGGGCCGACAACGCGGAGACGCGTCGGTCTACACAGGGGTACTCCTTTAGCTTCAGGGCAGGCGCTGTTTCGTGGCGGTCGAATCGGGCGTCAACCGTCGCCGGTTCCAGCTGTGAGGCAGAGGTGTACGCTGCGGCCATGGCCGCTCAGGAGCTCCGCTGGCTGTCCTTCCTTCTCACCGACCTTGGTGAGCAGCCTCGCTCTCCCCCAGTCTTGTTCGCCGACAACAGGTCTACTGTCCTGTTGTGTGAGGAGCCCCGACTGGTTGGGAAGGCGAAGCACATCCAGCTTCGTTTCTTCCTTCTGCGTGAGTTGCAGCAGCGTGGCCAGACACTCGTAAGGCGTGTGGTCTCCGAGGCCAACACGGCAGATATCTTCACCAAGGTGTTGTCGCCTTGTGACCACCAGCGTTTCTGCACCCAGCTTGGCCTTGTGCCTGCCCGTCCTCACTTGCTTACGTAGAGATGCTTTGTCCAGTATGTCTTGTACTCTTGCATCTCTTTATATTTGCTATATACCTGCATGTGGACTGGCCTTGTGGCCCCTTGCTTGCTCTCGGAGAGTGTGGTGACTTTGAGCTCCACCCTGAGATTTGTCTTGTTCTTGTGGCCTGGTCTTGTAACCCTTGCTTGTTCTTGCTGACTGGTCATGTGACCCTTGTTTGCTCTCAGAATGTGTGTGTCCTTGAGACCCACGCTGAGATTTGTGTTTCTTTCCACAGGACTACGGTACCGTCACCTAGACTATGGGGGTGTGTCAACATATATTCTATATGTTGTATTTGGTTTAGTCTAGGTGTTATTGTTTTGCCCTACTTCTAGATTAGGGTTTCATACATATTGCTTGTAACTTTGTTATTCTAGTCAATTCTTAGATTGTGACAATAGCAGCACACACACAGAGCAGCTCGTGCAAAGAGCAACACCCACGACAGCATACAGTAATACCAGCAAATGACGAACAGCACATCAGAGCAGAAAAAACGAGATGCAACAAAGCCAAGGAACAAGCACATAAGAAGCAGCATACAGTAATACCAACAAATGAGTTGGAGTAAAGAGCATGGTTCGAATGGAGTGGAGAGGACACGAAGGGAAGAAAGCAACGAGGTGTGAGAAGAGTGGCAAGGCACGATGAGAGGAGCAATGAGGAGAACGAAGAAAGCTCAGAAGTGTGTGCACACAGAGCCACTCACATGCCCGTCAGCCACTCACATGTCCGTCAGCCACTCACATGCCCGGCAGGCACTCACATGTCCGTCAGCCACTCACATGTTCGCCAGCCACTCACATGTCCGTCAGCCACTCACATGTCCGTCAGCCACTCACATGCCCGTCAGCCACTCACATGTCCACCAGCCACTCACATGTCCGCCAGCCACTCACATGTTCGTCACCCACTCACATGTCCGCCAGCCACTCACATGTCCGTCAGCCACTCACATGTCCGCCAGCCACTCACATGTCCGCCAGCCACTCACATGTCCGTCAGCCACTCACATGTCCGTCAGCCACTCGCATGTCCGCCAGCCACTCATATGTCCGTCGGCCACTCACATGTCCGTCACCCATTCACATGCCTGCCAGCCATGTCAGTTGAGCGACCACTTCCAGTCCTCCGCTGAGACCGTTGTTGGACAAATAACTGGGTGTCGACGGTGGTGCCATGTAATGAAACGCGGTGCAACGAATCGGAGTGTGGCATGGGCTGTGCAATGCGTAGTGTGGTGGTGCGATGAATTGAAGGACGGCGAAAAGAACAAGGTTTTGGATTATTGCATAACCAGCAAAGGATGGGGCAATAACATGGGCAATGGCTATGCAATCCAGCAATCTCTAGGGGGGAGGACGCAAAGACAGGCAGAGGACGCACAGACTACTGACGCCGCTGAGGCGTGTGAAGGTGGAGGGAATGGCTCTTGTGAAGGAATTGAAGTCCAGACCCCTGTGCGCATGGCAGACAACGAATGTAGTGTGTGAAATCAACTTGATGGTAAGAAAGTGTACAGATTAGTTGGGAATGAAGAGGGGATGAAAAAAGAGAACAAAATGGAGAGAAAGTAAGGATGTTCAAATTTGAATGGAGCACAAAGAGAGGATGAAAAGAGGATGAAGAGGGCGAAGCGATAATTAGGCCTCTCCATCTCAGGCTAATAGCCCAGGAGTCAGGCTAATAGCCCTGGAGAAGCCAGGAGGAGGAGTCAGACCGATCGCCATCGGCGAAGCGATAATTAGGCTCACGGCGAAAGCTGCGCTGCGGAAACTCTCACCAGAAATTCGGAAGTTTTTTCTCCAGGTTCAGTTCGGCGTGGCGGTGCCCGGAGGAGCAGAGACAGTAATCCACGCTACCCGAGCACTACTGAAGGAAAAACCGAGCCGCATCGCCATCCAAGTCGGTTTTCTTCTCAGTTGTTTCTCCTAACCGAGCGGGAGAGTGAGAGAGAGAGAGAGAGAGAGAGAGAGAGAGAGAGAGAGAGAGAGAGAGAGAGAGAGAGAGAGAGAGAGAGGCCCTAGGAGCTAGTCCTTAGCCTCTCCAGCACTCTTCAGCCTAGTATATAGTGCTCCTCTGCAGCTAGTTCTCTTCATTGTTCGGTTTGCTCCTCGGCGGCCTCTCCATCTCTCATTCTTTCAGTTAGTGCTGAAAATTTTGGCGCTTCGCGCCGGCGGCCTTCGGCCGCGCGTTAGGGATGGCAAGGGGAAACAACAAGCAGTAGTAGCTTAGGCAGCCGATACAAACAAAGCAAGCATAGACACTTAGCAAGTAGAGGATGGAACGGGCCTACACGCGCAAGGGGGGAGCGCCTACATGCGGTCCGCCTCTACCGCAGCGAGCATTCCGCTCGTGTTCAACCACAACTGGCGGACCACAGACACGGTGGCGCCTACAACGTCAACAGGAGTACCAGGGCCTGCTACAAGCGTCCTCAGAGCCAGGGCCGAGTCAGCCAGCTGGCTGGCCGAGGTTGCTCCCGGCGAGGGCGCTACCTGCAGTGGCATTACGAGCGCGAATAGCGCTGACGCCATCGCATGACAATCTGCTCGCGGTTTTTGAGAGAACCTGCTCGGAGGGCTCACCGGCATGGAGTCAAATGATTCCTGGAGAATCCGCTCAAGGCTCTGCCGGGACGCCGCCAGCGACCATAGGCGGGCCAGGGTCGCCGTGGGAACTTCCTTCATCGGCGGAAGTAACGCAGACGCGAGGGCACGGTGAGACGACACGGCAAGATCACGCGGAGCAGGAAGAGGACGCGGCGGAGCAAACTGAGCCCACGGCGGCCCGCCACCAGCACCTACGAAGCCCATCCCCGCAGGCAGCGGCCGCTCTGAACGCGCCGGGGATCCAAAGGGATTGTGGGGCAGGAGCGCGGAGAGAGGGACGAAGGGAGCAGCGCGAGGAGCTGATGGTGACGCCGACCCCGCACGCGAGCGACGAAGCTCCTTCTCCACGTCATCAAGCCTATCCAGAAGACGGCACTCCATTGCGGACGGCGTTGGACGCACTTTTCCGCCGGGACTGTCACCCCCCCGTCGCCCACGACGCGCACGCCCACTTGCGCTCGAGCGCACAGGCGACTGCGGGCGAGATGGGCCTTGCTGACGCTGGCGGCCAGGAAAACGGTCCCCGCGACGAGGGGAGTAGAGCCGTTGGCGCTTTGCAGGAGGGGGCGAGCGCGGAGCTGGGGGCCGACGCCCAAACGTCTGGCGGGCAGGTGACCGCTGGCGAGATGAACGGTGAGGGGGCGAATGATGACGATGCAAACGGCGGTCACGGGATCGGCTTCGCGACGAGGCAAACGAGGCGACAGCGGCAAACGGGCCGCACCGTGACGATCATTGCGGCGGCTCTCCCGCTTATCGTCGCGAGCTGCCGATGAGCGACGGCAAGGCGAACGCTCCTGGTGCGCCACAGCCTCTGCGCCGGAGCGCAAGACGAACCCCGCGCGCGGGGGCTCCCGCGGTGACAAGGACCTGCCCGCGCGCGGAGCCAACTCGCGCCGCTGGTCCTCGAAGCGGCGGCGGATCTGATCAGCGGACGCCGGTGGAGCAACAGGCACGCTCGCGGCAGGGCGTGCAAGAGGAAGCGGACGGGGAGCAGGATCGCTCTCCGCGGTGCAGTCGCGGCCAAGAGCGCCAAGGAAATCCATTGGCCAACGCTCAAGACGCTCCACTGGCACACAAGAAGCCGACAACGCCGATCTCCCAGGCGCAACAGGCGGAACCTGTGGCAGCTACCCCGCGGAGCGGACGGGGAAGCACGCACGGGAGAGGCGGGCGACAAGGAGCGCGCGAAGGGCAGAGGAGCGCAGGCCAAGCGGGAAGGGGACCGCCCTGCCAGTTGCCGAGCCCAACCTGGTTGGGGGAGCCGGCGGAACGAGTCACGCGCCAGTCATTCGCCAGGCGGGGGGCGAGGGGAGGAACACCAGCGCAAGCGGGGAGAAACAGGGATATCAACACAGAGGGGAGTCGAGACGATTATATACCGTCAGATCTGAGGCAACCAGACGACCCCGCCTCACCTCACGCGGAACAAGGAGAGGGGCAAGCGCAGCAAAGGAGAGAGGAACCGGCCGCAGTCAGCATCGAGGGCTCAGCTTCCTCCGGACCAGGCACTATCGGCGTCCCAGCTGGCCTCGCAGGAGGATCTTTTCCAGATCGCGATGACTTGGGACCTTACACTCCTAACCTCCACCACCCACCTACCAATCGTCCGCCGACTGCCGCCGCAGATCCTCAGCGTTTACTCCTCCTGTATGCTGGCTGCCCTACTTCGGATCTCCAAGCTGCCTAACTGCGCGGGAGCATGGCGGGTCCTCATGTTCCTGCCACGTCTCACGCTAAGACTTAGCCGGAGATCCAGCTCTAGATGAAAACTGCTGCGGGAACAGATGCATCTATTCCAATGTGGCCACTGGACCCAGCTGTACACTGACTACTTGGGGTCAATGCACCTGGCCGAACCACCTCAGCACCAACGTGACCCAATGGGAATCTGCTCACGTGCGAAGGGGTTGGTGAAACGGGGTAACCTGCGAAAGGCGTTAGCAGCCCTACAACCCTCGCCTTCAGCACCTGCGACAATTGCGACACTACAGCAGCTGGAATCGAAACACCCCCAACCCCAAAATGACCTGCCCGAGTGGGTGCATTCCTACACCACACCCACGCAATTCTCAACCACTCTGGAACGCTTTTCCGACGTCCTTGGAGAATGCCCCAGGGGAATTGGGGCTGGCCCATCAGGGTCAACTTTCGAACACTACCGCGATCCAGCGCTAAGTAACATCGAGGTACTAGGGCACCTCCACTCGGCCGTTACGCATCTTCTCTCGACAAATCTTTCCACTGAAGTCGCAGCACTACTTGCCCCGTCCCGCCTTACAGCCTTCGCCAAACCAGGGGGGGGGGTACGTCCCATTGCGATTGGAGAGTCATTGCTTAGGCTGGCGGCGAAGGTGGCGCTCTCAGATCTGCAAGGAGAAACGCGAATTTTTTCCTACCTCAGCAATTTTTCGTGGCAGTCCCTGGAGGTGCAGAATTTGTCATCCATGCTGTCCGAGACCTCACCACGGTGCAGCCCTCCAGCCTAGTACTCCAACTCGACATTGAGAATGCGTTCAACTCAGTAGAGAGGAGCGCGTTCTTCAACGCACTCATCGGCTCCCCACTAGCTCCCCTAATCCCCTTCACACGCTCTTTCTACGCAGCATCTTCACCACTGCTGCTGGACCCATGCTTCAATTCCATGGCACTCACCAGCGGAAGGGGAGTCAGACAGGGGGATCCCCTCGGACCTCTGTTATTCACAGCGTCTATCCAGCAGCACCTCAGGCATGTAGCAACGGAGCACCCCGAAGTCACGGTCCTCGCTTACGCGGACGACATGACCATGATTGGACCCGCGGCGGCGACGCTGGAAGCGCTCAGGGAGCTCACGCCGCTGCTGGCACAGGAAGGTCTCACCTGCAACTTTAGGAAGTCGTCGGCATGGTCCACCGTGCCGCTAGGAGGGGACGTACTCCCCGAGGGCCTTCCCCTCACCCGCGAGGGGGTGCGGGTGTTGGGAAGTCTAGTGGGGTCGCAGAGCTTCTGCTCTGATTTTGTCCGCAGCACCCTGACAGACGCGGCAGCCCCCTTGGGCTCTCTGGCGTCCATCCACCCACAACACGCCCTCCTGCTACTGTCTCGTTGCATCAGCCGCAGAGTCGGCTACCTGCTGCGCACTACCCCAGCTGACGTCTTACCGCTCTTGGAATGGCACACATGGTGCGCCGAATTACTGAACACTGCCTTGACCGCCGCCAGCATTCAATCGCCACGCCGACAAGCCGAGTTCAACTTCCTTCTCCGACAGGCAACTCTCCCAGTAGCCCTAGGCGGACTGGGCCTTACGGACCCCACAAATGAAGTAGCACCGGCCTACCTGGCATCTACAACAGAGGCGCTGCGCTTGCTCCGCTCCCTGGAATTACCGGCAACCGCGCCGCTAGGGGCCGACAGCAACGCCCTGCAGCCGTTTGCAGCGCACTCCGTGACCATCCAGGACATGGAGGGGCGTCTACCACCGCTGGCGCTACAAAACCTACGGGAGGAGCAGCAAACCCCGTCCCAGGACCAGCTGCAGCGCGCCCTCTCCCAGGAAGTGCACGCGGCAAAGGCCGACACCCTAAGAGAGGAGTCACGTGCAATACAATCAGCCCCCGAGATGGGCCACACACTCCGCCTAGTCAGCCTGAGAGGAGAGGGAGCGGGAGCGTGGCTGCAGGCACTACCCTTGACCCCGGACCTCTGCTTCTCACCGGGACAGTTCCGAGCGGCCCTGGCCTTCCGCATGGGCATCCGACAAAATGTACCAACCGTTAGCGAGTGCGGAGAACTCGTAGCCGACTGCAGCCTACCCAACCACTTACTCCACTGCAGCACAGGCCCCGACAAGGACGCGCACACACAACCAGCTGGCCTTCACCATGGCTAAAATGGTGAGGGAGGCGCAGCTGGTGGTATACCTGGAGAATGCGATGTACTCACCTCCGGATGACCCGAAGAAGGCAGATGTGATTGTACAAGACCCGGACAGTGGAGAGACCTGGATCACAGACACCACGATCACCGACCCTGTGCTACAGAACCGGGACCCCACAGCCTGCAAACCCCCAGGTTGGGCTGCAAGGGAGGCTCAGAAGCGGAAGGAGAGGGACTACTACCGACACACAGAACACGTGGTGTTCTACGCCCTGGCCGTCGAGACCTATGGGGCAAACGCGCCCCCCACGACGGCGTTCCTGAAACTGCTGGCCACAGCAGCAGCTAGGAACCGCTTCAGGGCCAGCCCCTTGGCGAAATCCGCCAAGAAGATGGCCTGCCACTTCAGCCAGCGCTGGTTAGTGGCCCTCCAGCGCTCCCAGGCGAACGCCCTGCACACCAAGGCCAGGGCAGGGATTGAGGCAGCACACCCCCAGATGGCAGCGGACCCCTGGCCGCTGCACCTGGGGGACATCCTCCACACGCTGGAGGGCTAGAGGGTCACTCAGGGGGGAGGGGAGGGGAAGAGGGGTGAGTTGATGGGCTTATGGGATTGAGGTTATCATGGATAGAACTGCATGTCTGTACCCCTGCTGAATTAATACAACGGACCACATGCCCTCTGCTTTCTGCCCTCCGCCATGACTACTTAAGGCCACGGCGGCCTCTCCATCTCTCATTCTTTCAGTTAGTGCTGAAAATTTTGGCGCTTCGCGCCGGCGGCCTTCGGCCGCGCGTTAGGGATGGCAAGGGGAAACAACAAGCAGTAGTAGCTTAGGCAACCGATACAAACAAAGCAAGCATAGACACTTAGCAAGTAGAGGATGGAACGGGTCTACACGCGCAAGGGGGGAGCGCCTACATGCGGTCCGCCTCTACCGCAGCGAGCATTCCGCTCGTGTTCAACCACAACTGGCGGACCACAGACACGGTGGCGCCTACAACGTCAACAGGAGTACCAGGGCCTGCTACAAGCGTCCTCAGAGCCAGGGCCGAGTCAGCCAGCTGGCTGGCCGAGGTTGCTCCCGGCGAGGGCGCTACCTGCAGTGGCATTACGAGCGCGAATAGCGCTGACGCCACCGCATGACAATCTGCTCGCGGTTTCTGAGAGAACCTGCTCGTAGGGCTCACCGGCATGGAGTCAAATGACTCCTGGAGAATCCGCTCAAGGCTCTGCAGGGACGCCGCCAGCGACCATAGGCGGGCCAGGGTCGCCGTGGGAACTTCCTTCATCGGCGGAAGTAACGCAGACGCGCGAGCACGGTGAGACGACACGGCAAGATCACGCGGAGCAGGAAGAGGACGCGGCGGAGCAAACTGAGCCTACGGCGGCCCGCCACCAGCACCTACGAAGCCCATCCCCGCAGGCAGCGGCCGCTCTGAACGCGCCGGGGATCCAAAGGGATTGTGGGGCAGGAGCATGGAGAGAGGGACGAAGGGAGCAGCGCGAGGAGCTGATGGTGACGCCGACCCCGTACGCGAGCGACGAAGCTCCTTCTCCACGTCATCAAGCCTATCCAGAAGACGGCGCTCCATTGCAGACGGCGCTGGACGCGCTTTTCCGCCGCGACTGTCACCCCCCCGTCGCCCACGACGCGCACGCCCACTTGCGCTCGAGCGCACAGGCGACTGCGGGCAAGATGGGCCCTGCTGATGCTGGCGGCCAGGAAAACGGTCCCCGCGACGAGGGGAGTAGAGCCGTTGGTGCTTTGCAGGAGGGGGCGAACGCGGAGCTGGGGGCCGACGCCTAGCCGTCTGGCAGGCAGGCGACCGCTGGCAAGATGAACGATGAGGGGGCGAACGATGACGATGCGAACGGCGGTCACGGGATCGGCTTCGCGACGCCACTCGACGAGGCAAACGAGGAGACAGCGGCGAACGGGCCGCACCGTGACAATCATCGCGGCGGCTCTCTCGCTTATCGTCGCGAGCTGCCGATGAGCGACGGCGAGGCGAACGCTCCTGGTGCGCCACAGCCTCTACGCCGGAGCGCAAGACGGACCCCGCGCGCAGGGGCTCCGGCGGTGACAAGGACCTGCCCGCGCGCCAAGCCAGATCGCGCTGCTGGTCCTCGAAGCGGCGGCGGATCTGATCAGTGGACGCCGGTGGAGCAACAGGTATGCTC